CACACACACACATACATATACATTTAGAACATTGTAAGAAACACTAGAATAATTCTGGTTGTTCAGAATCTTGCTGAGTAAAAGAGAGTTCTTGATAACCTCTGTTAAGTAATCACAACACCCTGTGTATATATAGAGTGCTCCTGTTTGGGGAGGGTTTTAATTATGTTATCTCATTTGATTCCCATGGTAATTCTTTAAGAATCTTTAGATGTGATATTCCCATTTTGCAGTTGAAGAAGCTAAAGGTCAAAAAAGCTAGTTATAAATTTACTGAAAGACAAAACTGTAACCATAACCCAGGATTTTTTTCTATACCATCTGCCTCTCCTTAATAACTGATTTAATATCCTTTTTAAATACATGGCTGATCTTGCAAGATATCCCAGAGGGTCAAAACCTGAAGTGATAACTATAGAGAGTAGAGATAAGAACATGAGCTTTCAAATGTTGCTGGTGTCTGTAATAGGTCTTGGGTTTTAATGCCTACTTGTGTGGACAAGAAGAAAGGCCTTGTATAGGATTATCACACATCAAATGCCAGAACTTTCAAAGGACTACTTTCTCAGCAAAAGGGCAAATTGGAAACAAATTGCCTGTCAATGCATGGAAATACAAGAAAGCTTACGTATGTCATTCATTGAGCTCATTGGGAGTGGAGGGATGGCTTCTCTTCAATTCTCTATTTGTGGTCCAGCAGTTCACATGGTAAGGAATTGAAAGTTACTTAACCAATGGAGTCTGTGAACCCTTTAAGGTTAGAAACTAATATAAAAAAGAGTCCTGGAATTTTTGTGTTGTGGTATATAGCAGTCACTCGGGAAGGATATGCCTTCAACCCTGGATTCCTACAGTTAAAGCCTCATGAGCATGAGCTCAAATCTATAAATTATAAAATTTATAACTTTAGAGGAGTTATAAGTTATAATCTACACATTTGTCAGCACACATTACCAAATAGCAGGATTAGACCTTCAGGAACTTTGGGTGACATTCTAAAAGAAGCTATAAAATAATAATACTTAAAAGAATTCAAAACTCTGAGGATGTGATACTGCAACAAAAACAATAGGTAAACGTTCAAAAACCTAAAAAAAAAAATCTAGAAATTAAAAACTAATTGTACAGGTTAAACAGGTTAGGAACAGCAGAAAATAGCATCAGAAACCTGAAAAGTTGATCTGAGAAAGTTACTAGAATGTAGTGGAGAACAAATAAGCTTGAAATATAGAAAAGAGGTTCAGAAACATAGAGAATGGGATGAGAAGATTATTTACATGTCTTAAGAATCTGAAAAATAAAGGTGTGGAAGGACATGGCTGTGAATTTTTCAGAATTGTTAAAAAACTCAGCTCTTTAGATTCAAGGAGCATAAGTCCTCCACAGGATAAGTAACCCATACTTCAAAGTAACACTTAGGGCTCGGCGCCTGTGGCTCAAGCAGCTAAGGCGCCAGCCACATAC